GCTGCCTTTGTGCTCACTGTGTTCCTTTGCAAGGGCATCAGCGCATTCCCCGTTTCCCGATGTGTCTTTCCCGGGTTTCAGTTCTGTTACTCATTAACTCTGCAGCCCCCTGCCCACAGCAGGTTACCAATCCCCTGCTGGGGTTTTCGGGGGCTCCCAGCCATGGGCTGGCTGTGCTGACACGGATGTTTGGGGTTACCCCAGCACATCCCTGCAGCCTCTGAGCTGCTCTGTTAGCTCTGGATCCCTGGAATTACCGGGGCTCTCCCACCTGCTGGAGCTGCAGACATTTCTCCTGCCCTTGCAGACATTTCTCCTGCCCTTGCAGACATTTCTGCTGCCCTCGCAGGGTTTTGGGCAGCTCTCCCTTGTGCTCCCAGAAGCCTGGCCGGGTCAAGAGGGGCTCCCCAAAGCCCCAGGCTGCCCTGTGCCGAGGGGCAGCTGGCACTGCAGCGCCCTGCTGTGCCCTGCTCCCGTTCCCATCCAGCTGTGCCAGCTGTGGCATGCGGGGTTTCTGTGTTGAGATGACCCCGAGGTGTTAGAAAGTCTCTTTTCTCCCAGCCCCGCGACAGAACAAGCTGAGATTCGTCGGTTCTGCTTCTCAAGGGCGTTTATTTTCCTTATCTGTTACATTCTTTCTCTGACCTGCTGAGATCGGCCCTGCAGCTCTGGCTGTGCACAGCGCCTGCCCGTGGGGCGGTGCTAACATTTTATATAAAAACTGCCTGTACTTTATTGACAATGATTTTCCAATACCCACCACGTATGTTACAGTCTCTCTATTCTAAACCAACCCAAAAGTGTCACCATCACAGCAGAAGGTGGAGGACAAGAGGGACAGGACATGCCCAGATTCCTCCCTCTTGCCTCCTGAGCCCCCATTCTAAACCCCCAAAATTCTACTTTTTCACCCTGTGACAAATTAACTGTCATTCTGCTCAAACCCTTGGGCTTGTAAATCCTCCCACAGAGCTGGTGATTTTCTCCATGGGCTAAAATCGAAGGCAGCAGCTGGCACTGCAGCGCCCTGCTGTGCCCTGCTCCCGTTCCCATCCAGCTGTGCCAGCTGTGGCATGCGGGGTTTCTGTGTTGAGATGACCCCGAGGTGTTAGAAAGTCTCTTTTCTCCCAGCCCCCCGACAGAACAAGCTGAGATTCGTCGGTTCTGCTTCTCAAGGGCGTTTATTTTCCTTATCTGTTACATTCTTTCTCTGACCTGCTGAGATCGGCCCTGCAGCTCTGGCTGTGCACAGCGCCTGCCCGTGGGGCGGTGCTAACATTTTATATAAAAACTGCCTGTACTTTATTGACAATGATTTTCCAATACCCACCACGTATGTTACAGTCTCTCTATTCTAAACCAACCCAAAAGTGTCACCATCACAGCAGAAGGTGGAGGACAAGAGGGACAGGACATGCCCAGATTCCTCCCTCTTGCCTCCTGAGCCCCCATTCTAAACCCCCAAAATTCTACTTTTTCACCCTGTGACAAATTAACTGTCATTCTGCTCAAACCCTTGGGCTTGTAAATCCTCCCACAGAGCTGGTGATTTTCTCCATGGGCTAAAATCGAAGGCAGGCTGCAGGAGTGCCTGGGATGGTTCTATAAAAACATTAGACTGGTTTTTAGATCTATTTTTATCAATATAAAAGATATCATATACAGTATGTAATATATAATATATAATATATAATATATAATATATAATATATAATATATAATATATAATATATAATATATCATATATCATATATGATATATGATATATCATATATCATATATCATATATCATATATCATATATCATATATCATATATCATATATCATATATCATATAGTATATGGTATATATAAATATATATTTTATAATATATAAATAAATATATAATTTAATGTATCTTTTTATTTATTATATATAATCTATATTATTATATATAATATATACTATATACTATAATACAAAAATCTATTGTAATATATAAATAAATACGTTATAATATATATTTTATATATTATATATTAGTATATAGTATATAGTATATATATTATATTATACATACTATATATAACATATAGTGGAGCCCTCCAGGGCAGCCAGAGGAACGTGCTGGGCTCTGACAGTGGCACAGAGCAGCTTTGGTGCTCCTGACCCCAACCCCACAGCTCGCCCTGCGCTGGCTCACCCCTCACTCACCGGCCCAGCGCTGCAAGTTGGGATTGTCCCCTCCAAGGCAGAGCTGCCCAGCCCGCTGGGTCCGAGTACCGCAGGAACAGCGCCTCGGAGGGAGCACTGTGTCCCTGCCACGCGGCCAGGGTGCCAGCTGCAGGCTGCAGGAGTGCCTGGGACTGTTCTAGAAAAACATTAGACTCGTTTTTAGATCTATTTTTATCTATATATAATATACAATATACAGTATGTAATATATAATATATAAATATTATATTATACATACTATATATAACATATAATATATAGTATATATAATATACTATATATACTATATGCTATATTATATATTATATTATACATACTACATATAATTGATAATATATATTATATATATATAATATAGAACTGTTTTGTATATATTTTTACCCTTAAATCTGCTCCCCACTGTGCCTTTGAGCTGCCAGCCCTGCCGGGCAGTGTCTGACCCACACTCCTTCCATAACCCACGTTCCAAAGGTGCTCTGAGCTCTTCCAAAGCCTCCCCTGCCTCCCCCTCGGGACGCTGGAATGAGGTGTTTGCCCCCCGGCTGGCACCCTGCCCCGCTGGCGTTCCCTGCAGCCCCTGGCGTTCCTTCTGCCTCTTTTGGCCCCTGAGCACACAAATCTCACTGCCTTTCGGCCCAGGTGTTGGATTTTGCATTCCCCACCCCAGAATGACCTTCGAGCCCCCGATTTTCCAAGCAGATCTCTGCCCGGGCAGGGGCTGGGCGCTGGGGCGTGCAGAGCTTGGCGCGTCCCCGCTGTTTTCCTGACTCCAGTGGCCAGGTTGGATCCAGGGCCTGTTCCCTTGCTGCCTGCCCCCCAGGCAGCTCCCGCTCAGCCCTGCCGCAGTTCAGCACCCAGGAAGCTGCTCCCCATCCACCACAAATGTTCCTTTTCCTTCCCCTGAGCTGCAGCCGGGGCTCCGCTGGGGATGAGTCCCGGGGTCCGCATCAGGGGATTCTCCCTCTCCATCTGGGGAGCCGATGGCTGGAGAGCGGGTCTGGGGCTCCTGGCTGGGGACACCCCTTGTCCAGTGTCCCCTCCCGTCACAGGTGCAGCCACCCCTTGTTACAGCGCTCCTCCACTGCTCCCCAGTGAGGGCATCCTCCCCCAGCTCCCCAGGGCTTCCTTGGCATCCTGGGGGAATTCTCTCCAGAATCCTCCTTTCACAGCATGGGCCGCTTCCCACTCACACCCTGTGCCATTCCCAACCCATTCCTGGGCAGGAGCAATCCAAAATGTGCCATTCCAAACCCTGTGCCATTCCCAACCCATTCCTGGGTGGGATCATCCCAAAATGTGCCATTCCAAACCCATTCCTGGGCAGGAGCAATCCAAAATGTGCCATTCCCAACCCATTCCCAGCTGGGATCATCCCAAAATGTGCCATTCCAAACCCATTCCCGGCTGGGATCATCCCAAAATGTGCCATTCCCAACCCATTCCTGGGTGGGATCATCCCAAAATGTGCCATTCCAAACCCATTCCCAGACAGGATCATTCCAAAATGTGCCATTCCAAACCCATTCCCGGGTGGGATCATTCCAAAATGTGCCATTCCCATTCCCATTCCCGGGCAGGAGCTCCCAGAAGGGCCCCGAGCCCTCAGGGACCCTTGAACCCTGCCCTGGAAGCTTTTGCTGCCCCTCCAGCTCCGAAGGGGGGATGCCCTGCTCCTCCCAGGGCTCCTGCTCCCGTTTCCTGCAGTCTGGGATCTCAGCTGCTCCCCCAAAATCCCTCAAGGTCCTGAGATCCCTCGGATCCGCTGAAATCCAGGAGCAGGTCCCAGCCAGGTGCCAGAACTGCCAGAAATGGGTAAAACCGAAACCCCTTAGGAAAACCCAGGGGAGCAGAATTCCTGCTTCTTTGCGCCCCCCGGCCTTCAGGAGTTCTGCTCCCTGATTTTTGGCAGCACAGCTGCTGTTTCCCAAAGCTGGGACTGCCTTGGCAAAGCTGCTGCGGGGGCAGAGGCGCCGAGTGACCCCCGAGGATCCGGGAAAGGAGGGAATGTCCTGGGACCTGCTCCCCCCCGGGCAGCCTGGGGGTCCCGGGTGCCAGAGCCCCCCCGGGCCCGCAGGAGCCACGTCCAGCCTCTCCCTCCCTGCGGGGCCCAGCTCCAGCATGGAATTCCCACATTTTCTGGCACTGAGGAGATCCGGCCCCAGCTCCAGGATGGAATTCCCACATTTTTTGGCACTGAGGAGATCCAGCCCTGTTCCAGGAATGGAATTCCCATATTTTCTGGTGCTAAGGAGATCCAGCCCTGTTCCAGGAATGGAATTCCACATTTTCTGGTGCTAAGAAGATCCAGCCCCATTCCAGGAGTGGAATTCCATATTTTTTTGGCACTAAGCAGATCCAGCCCCGTTCCAGGAGTGGAATTCCCATATTTTTGGCACTAAGGAGATCCAGCCCCAGCTCCAGGATGGAATTCCCACATTTTCTGGCACTGAGGAGATCCAGCCCCAGCTCCAGGAGTGGAATTCTATATTTTTTTGGCACTAAGGAGATCCAGCCCTGTTCCAGGAATGGAATTCCCATATTTTTTGGCACTAAGCAGATCCAGCCCCAGCTCCAGGAGTGGAATTCCATATTTTTTTGGCACTAAGGAGATCTAGCCCCGTTCCAGGAACAGAATTCCATATTTTCTGGCACTGAGGAGATCCGGCCCCAGCTCCAGGATGGAATTCCCACATTTTCTGGCACTGAGGAGATCCGGCCCCAGCTCCAGGATGGAATTCCCACATTTTCTGGCACGGAGCAGATCCAGCCCCACGAGCTCACGTCCTTAGGGCACCTCAGCGTCCCCGCCCCCCGCGCGCTCCCGGCTCCGCTCTAATTTCAGGAATTTAATTGGGAGAACGGCTCCCGGCCTCGTGATCCTGTCTGAAAGGGGAAAGTGGAACAGGAAAATTGGGGGATGTTCCCGGGGCCGGCGCGGCGCCTCCCGCCCCGATCCGCGGCTCCTCCACGTGCGCCCCGGGCACGTTGAGCGGGGACAGCCCAAAAACGGCACCGGCGCCGTCACAGCCGGGGGTGGCACCGAGGTGACAGGGTGACACCGCCGGGCCGCCAACGGAGCGCTGGCAGCGGCCCCAGGCGGGGTTTGGGAACGTTTGGGGAATATTCCTCCTGGAAAGGGCCGCCCAGCCCTGCGGGTCCAACGCCGCGTGGATGTGGCACCGGGGACGGCGGCGGCGGTGGCCCTGGGGACGGGCGGCCATCGGGGGTCCCATCCCGGTTTCCCCAGCGCGTCCCCCCCTCGCTGTGCGGAGCCTGTCCCCATTCCCGCGGCAACGCCACCATCCGTCCCCTCGGTGACACCGGGGGACATTCCCAGCGCTGCCCGGGGACGGGGGCAGCGCCCGGGGCTCCCCGCAGGGACCGGGGGCAGCTCTGGGGCTGCGGGAGCCCCCCGGGGATGGGGACCCCCCACCCCGAGCCTCATTTGCATTTTTTACTCATTTGCACATTAACTCCGATTTTTGGTGATTGTTTATTTAGGGGAGGGGGACACCGGGGGGACACGTGGTGGCTCCTGCTGTCACAAGAGCCGTGTCATGGTTCTGTCACGACAAAGAGCCCAGAGGAGCGCCCTTCCTCCTCATTAAAGGGAATAAATAGAATGGAAATAAATAGAATTAAATGGAATAGGAAGAACGTAATGGAGCAGGAGAACTGGACTAAGCAGAAGATAACAACTGGAACAACTTAAATAGAATAAAATGAAACAGAAAGGATAATGAATGACATAGAAAAAAAAATAAAATAAATAGATTTAAAGGAACTTCTGGCTTTGAATACGAACACGGGCAGGGCACTGGTGGGACCGGGAAATGTCCCTGAGGGACATTCCAGGACCCAAAGGTACTTCAGAATCTGAAGAGAACACGGAGAATCATCCCAGAGGGATTTTCCAAGGTCCGAAGCCACTTCGAGGCCCCAGGGGACACAGAGAAGCATCCTCGGGGTATTTCCCAGGGTCTGGGGGAACTGGGAAGCACTGGAGGACATTCCGAGGTCCAACGGGACACGGGAAGCGTCCTGGAGACTTTCCGAGGTGCGAAAGGCACATGGAGCAACGTCCCAGAGGGACTTCCCAGGGTCCAGGGGACATGGGGAACATTCCGGATACTTTAAACCCAAAGGGAACCGGAGACACATCCTGGAGGGACTGCCCGAGGTCTGAAGGGACACGGAGAAGTCCCTGGGTTCCAGAAGCCTCCAGGTGGCCCCGGGGGAGGCCGCGGCACCGGCGAGGTCACATCCAGGAGCACCGGGAGACCCCGGCTAGCACCGCTCCCCCGCCGGGAGCTCCCTGTCCCCGAGGGGCTCCCCCGCCCCGAGCAGGGCCCTGGGCTCCAGGGGGGCCCTGTCCCCAGGCACGGCCCCATCCCTGCGGGGCTGCCTCTCCTGGAGCAGGTCCCCATGCCCACGGGGGTCCCTGTCCCTGTCCCTGAGTGAGTCCCCATCCCCATAGGGCTCCCTATTCTTATCCCTGTCCCTGAACGAGTCCCCATGCCCACGGGGGTCCCTGTCTCTGCCCCTGAGTGGGACCCCGTCCCCACGGGGGTCCCTGTCCCTGTCCCTGAGTGAGTCTCTGTCCCCACAAGGCTCCCTATTCTTATCCCTTTCCCTGAGCGAGTCCCCATGCCCATCCCTATCCCTGAGCGAGTCCTCGTTCCCACGGGGGTCCCTATCCCTGTCCCTGAGCGGGTTCCTGTCGCTGTCCCCATCCCCGCGGGGGTCCCTGTCCCCACGGGGGTCCCTGCCCCTCTCCCTGTCCCTGTCCCCGTGGGGTTCCCTGTCCCCGTCCCTGTCCCTATCCCTGTCCCCACAGGGTTCCCTGTCCCTATCCCTGTCCCCGCAGGGTTCCCTGTCCCTGTCGCTGTCCCCGCAGGGTTCCCTGTCCCTGTCCCCGCGGGGTTCCCCGTCCCTGTCGCCGTCCCCGTCCCGGTCCCCGCGGGGCGGGCCGTGCCGCCGTGTCCCGCGGTGGCAGCAGAGGCCGCGGCGGGCTCCGGGGAAGGGGCGGCGGCCCGAGTGCGCCCGGCGGTGCAGCCAGAGGTGCCCGCGGTGCGGGAACACGCGCCCGCACTCGGGGCACGGGTGGGCGCGGTGGCTGCGCAGGTGCAGCTCCAGGCTCTCCCTCCAGCTGAAGCGGCTCCCGCAGCTGCCGCACACGAAGGGCCGCTCCTCGGCCGGCCCCGCCGCGCCCCGCTGCTCCCGGTGGTCCCGCTGCTCCCGGTGGGTGGCACCCCCAGCCCGTGGCACCCCGGTCCCCGTGGCACCCCCAGCCCCAGGGCCCCGTCCCTCACCCAGGCTGGCCACCAGCTCGTAGGTGTCGCCCATGACCTCCCGGTGCAGCGCCCGCTGCCAGGGCGCCAGCAGCGCCCACTCCTCGGGGGAGAAGTGCACGGCCACCTCCTCGAATGTCACCTCGGGGGACACCCCCTGGCAGGGACAGCGGGCGCTCAGGGGGGCCCGGGGGGGTCCCCCAGCCCTCGGCAGGGCCCCCGGCCCCCGCCCCGGCGGCCGCCGCGCCCCGAGCCCCGCCCGTGCCGAGCCCCCCGGTACCGGTGTCCGCTCGCAGATCCCCTCGCCAGGCTCCCAGCAGCGCGGGGGGCTCGGGGCCCTTGCCCAGCGGGTCCCCGGCGGCGCAGGGCGCGGGCAGGCCAGCGCCGTGGGTGCGGCGGTGCCGCAGCAGGTGAGCCTTCTGGCTGAAGCCCTTGCCGCAGTCGGCGCAGCGGAAGGGCCGCTCCCCGGTGTGCGTCCGCAGGTGCACGGCCAGGTTCACCTTCTGCCGGAAGCGCTTCCCGCACTCGGCGCACGCGTGGGGCCGCTCGGCGCAGCCGTGGGGACACTCGGAGCACGCGTGGGGACACTCGGAGCACGCGTGGGGCTGCTCGGCGCAGCCGTGGGGCCGCTCGCAGGGGTGAGGATGCTCGGCACAGGTGTGAGGACGCTCAGCACAGGCGTGAGGACGCTCAGCACAGGCGTGAGGACGCTCAGCACAGGTGTGAGGATGCTCGGCACAGGCGTGAGGACGCTCGGCGCAGCCGTGGGGACACTCGGCGCATCCATGGGGCTGCTCACACGTGTGGGGCCGCTTGCTGCAGGCGTGGGGCTGCTCGCAGGGGTGGGGACACTCGGCGCAGGCGTGCGGCCGCTCGGCGCAGGGCTGTGGCTGCCCGCAGGCGTGGGGCCGCTCACAGGCGTGGGGATGCTCCGCACAGGCGTGGGGGTGCTCCGTACACCCGTGGGGGTGCTCGGCGCAGGCGCGGCGCTGCTCGGCGCAGGTGTGGAGCCGCTCGGCGCAGCCGTGGGGACGCTCGGCACAAGCGTGGGGACGCTCGGCGCAGCCGTGGGGACACTTGGCACAGGTGTGCAGCTGCTCGGCACAGCCGTGCGGCCGCTCGCCGCCGTGGCCCGGCCGGAGCCCCCCGTGCTCGGCGCAGGCCTCCCCGCAGAGCGCGCAGGGAAAGGGGCTCCCGGCGGGGTCCAGGGCGCCGGGGGCCTGGCCGGGGGTCCCGGTGTGCACCCGCTGGTGCACCCGCAGGGACAGTTTGCTCTTGAAGCGCTTGGGGCACTCGAGGCAGGTGAAGGGCTGGCGGCCCAGGTGCGTCTTCTGGTGTGCCAGCAGGTTGGGCTTCTGCGCGAAGCGCTTCCCGCACTGGGCGCAGGCGAAGGGGCGCTCGCCCGTGTGCACCCGGTAGTGCGTCACCAGGTTGCCCTTCTGGTTGAAGCGGCGGCCGCAGACGCCGCAGGTGAAGGGCCGCTCACCTGTGTGGATGCGCTGGTGGGTGGCCAGGTTGGTTTTGAGGCTGAAGCGCTTGCCGCAGGTGTCGCAGCGGAAGGGGCCGCGCCCGCCGGGGCTGTGCCCGTGCCGCGGCGGCCGCTCGCACTGCGCCAGGCCCCGCCATCCCGGTGGTGCCGGGGCCCCGCGGGCCGCGGGCGGTGCGTGTCGCGGTGCCGCAGCAGGTCCCCGCGCAGGCAGAAGCCGCGGCCGCACTCGGCGCAGCCGTGCCGGGCGCGGTTCCCCCGCCGCAGCTTCTTGTGCCCCAGCAGGCTGCGGCGGTGCCGGAAGGACCTGCCGCAGGTGCCGCACAGGTACGGCCGGCCCGCCGCCGCCTCGGGCCCCGGCAGCGGCCCCGGCACCGGCCGGGGGACGAGCCCGGTGCGGTCCTGCCGCTCGGGGTCACGGCCGCCGGAGCGGGGCACAGCGGAGCCCGGGTCACGGCGTCCTCCGGTGTCGTCCTTGCTGTCAGAGCCGCTCCAGGCACCTGCTGGGGACACAGCGTCACCGTGGGACAGTCCCGGCCCCAGGACCACCGCTGCGACCCCGTGGGGACCCCCAGCCCAGCCCAGCCCAGGGGGTGACACACAGGGCAGCTCCTCGTCCCCCGGCCCCCAGGGGTCCCCGCGGGTGTCCCCGGTCACTCACAGCTGTCGCTGGTGTCGCTATCTCCGCTGTGCCCCCCAGCGCAGGGAACCCCCCCGTGCGACTCCTCCTTCATGGGGGGGAGCTTGGAGCTGGGGTCTGTGGGGGAGAGAGGACCCCCAGTGCCCCCGGGAGGGTCAGGGTCACCGGGACCCTCACCAGGCCGGGCCGTGCGGGGCCGGGGTGCCCGGGACTGTTATTGCCCACAGCCGGGACCTGCCCGAGCCCGCCCTGCATGCACGCAGAGACGGGCTGAGCCCTAAGGGGCCACGGGCTGCAGAGCCCGCTCGGCCTCCGGACCCCCAGCTCGGCCCCCGGACCCCCAGCTCGGCCTCGGGACCCCAGCTCGGCCTCGGGACCCCCGCCGTGCACCCAGACCCCCGGCTGAGCCTCAGACCCCCAGCCAACCCCCCAAGCCCGGCTCAGCCTCCAGACCCCCAGCTCAGCCTTCAACTGTGTCCCCAGTCCCGTGGCACCCCCAGCCCTGGGCACCCCAAGCTCCGTGACACCCCCAGCCCGTGGCACCCCCCGCCCCGGGCACCCCCAGCCCGGGGCACCGGGGCCCGGGCGAGGGGCGGCTCTGCCGGTCCGTGCCGGGATCCGGCTCCCTCCCCTCCCGGCGCGGCCGCGATCCCGCCCCGCTCGCCCCCCCGGCAGCGTCACCCACCCCCCAACAGGGGGGACACGGCCCCGCCCGAGGAGCCGGCCTGGTGACCCCCGGCCCCAAGGGTCCCACACCGGCCCGGGACAGGGACAGCCCCCCACCCCTGTGCCCAGACTGCCAGAACACACCCGGGTGGCACCGGCTGTCCCCTGGCCGGTGGCACGGTGTCTGTGTCCCAGTCTGTCCCCCCAGTTACAGCCCCAGCGTGAGACGCCCCCCAATCTGTCCCCAGGGAGCACCGGGGGCGCTGGTGCCACCCCCGAGGATGTGACAGTGACCCTGGGGTCGGCCCGGTGGCCACCCTAATGCTGAGCTCTCACCTGGTGTCCAGGTGGGGTTCGGTGGTGGCAGAGCACATCGGAAGGCTGGCACTGCCACTGGCACTGTCCTGGCACATGGGGTCCCAGCCTTTCCCAGGGCTCAGGCCAGCACTGGCACTGCCACTGTCCTGGTGGCCCCTCGGCCATGGGGTCCCAGCCTTTCCCAGGGCTCAGGCCAGTGCTGAGGCTGCAGAGAACCCCCTGTGTCCCCCCACCCCAGTCCCAGACAGAGCACCTGGAGCCCCAGAGCCATCAGAAGCTTTTATTTTAAATAACCTCAAAAAATAGAATTGCAGAGAGCAGAGCTGGGGAGGGGGCTGGAGCGGGACCCCTGCCCAGCCGGGGCTCGGGGGTGGCTGTCCCGGTGTCGGTCCCGGTGGAGGATCCCATTCCCTTCGGGATGAAGCAGTGGCAGCTCCCCGCGGTGTCTGTGGCCACAGCTCTGCCCCAGACCTCTGTCACACCGGGGGGACAGCGAGAGGCCACACAAACCCAGCAAAGCCCCCCGTGCCACTGGAGCCCCCCACCACCACCACAACTCCAGCTGCAGCCCCGCAGCATCACCCATCCCAAATCCGGAGTATTGAGTCCCAAAGCGCGCAGTTACCCAGAGCAAGCAGAAGCACAAGCTGCCCCCCATCCCCCCGGCTCCGGAGGCTCTCCGGCCCCTCTGGAAGCAGAGCTGAGCCCTTCCAGGCCCTTCTCCTGGCTGTCCTCCAGCGTGCTCCCAACTCCCCCGCGCGGAGCTGCGCCGGCCCCGGTCAGCCCGCGGCAGGGCGGGCCCAGCACGCCCACCCCAGCGTGTCCTTGGGGAAGAATTGCAGAGAGCAGAGCTGGGGAGGGGGCTGGAGCGGAACCCCTGCCCAGCCGGGGCTCCGGGGTGGCTGTCCCGGTGTCGGTCCCGGTGGAGGATCCCATTCCCTTCGGGATGAAGCAGTGGCAGCTCCCCGCGGTGTCTGTGGCCACGGTTCTGCCCCAGACCTCTGTCACACCGGGGGGACAGCGAGAGGCCACACAAACCCAGCAAAGCCCCCCGTGCCACTGGAGCCCCCCACCACCACCACCACAACTCCAGCTGCAGCTGCAGCCCCGCAGCATCACCCATCCCAAATCCGGAGTATTGAGTCCCAAAGCGCGCAGTTACCCAGAGCAAGCAGAAGCACAAGCTGCCCCCCATCCCCCCGGCTCCGGAGGCTCTCCGGCCCCTCTGGAAGCAGAGCTGAGCCCTTCCAGGCCCTTCTCCTGGCTGTCCTCCAGCGTGCTCCCAACTCCCCCGCGCGGAGCTGCGCCGGCCCCGGTCAGCCCGCGGCAGGGCGGGCCCAGCACGCCCACCCCAGCGTGTCCTTGGGGATGCCAGCCAGCCCGGAACAGGCTGGAAGGTTCTGGAAGCAGACAGAGCCCCTGAGGGCTCCTCTCGTCCCAAGTCTGGCTCCAGTGGATGCAGCTCCACCGTGCCCAGCTCTGGCTGGTCTGTGTGGCCGGAGCCCACGGCAGATCCGGCTCCAGCGCTGGCTGCTCCAGCCCTTGGGGTCTTCCTGAGCCAGGAATGTGCCATGTCCCAGCCTGGCTCTGCTTTGCCCCACAGCCGCGGCTGGGGGCTCCTCCAAGTCCCAGTGCTGAATCCAGCTGGCAGTGCCACCTTGGCGTTGAGCCCTCGGCTCTGTCCCTTTGGCTCTGTCCCCTCGGCTCGGTCCTTTTGGCTCTGTCCCTTTGGCTCTGTCCCCTCGGCTCCATCTCCTCCAGGCCCACCGCGGGTGCCCCCGGGCGCCGAGGGCCGCTCCTTGCCGGGGTGTCGTGGTGGGGTTCTGGTGAGGGGGCTCACAGGCAGCCGGGGCGGGGGGTCCTGGTGGGGGGCTCTCAGCGGGGGCGGCAGGCAGCCGGGGCGCTGCCGGGGCTCACAGGCAGCCGGGGCACGGGGCCGGTTTCTCCTCGCCGCACTCGCGCTCCGGCGCTCCCGGCGCTCGCTTCTCCTCGAAGGCGCGGGCGCAGCCGCCGGCCTTGGCCCAGAGCTGCCCGCGGGGCGGCTCGGGAGGGCGGGGGGCCAGACAGGCGGCGCAGCACTCGGCGCCCGGCTCCGCGGGGGGGGCGCCGGGGCACGGCTTGTGCCCCGCGTGGCTCTTCTGGTGGGCGACGAGGGCGAGCCAGAGCCCGAAGCTGTTCCCGCACTGATTGCAGATGAAGGGCTTTTCCGGGGAGAGCACGCCTTCCCCCGGCCCCGGCTGCGCCCCCAGGGGCCCCAGGAGAGGGGGGCCGGCGGCAAAGGGCGCGGCGGGCGCCTCGGAGGGCCGCAGCAGGGGCACCTTGGGGCAGAAGCCGTCGCCGCAGTGGGCGCAGGGGAAGGAGGGCTCACCCGGGGGCGGGGGGGGGAAGCCCTTCTCGGGGCACGGGAACAGCTCGGTGCCCTCGGGGAGCTTCGGGCGCGGCGGGGGCCGGGCCGCGCGCGGGGCAGCGGCGCTGGCGGGGGATGTGCGTCTTCTGGTGGGCCTTGAGGGACACCTTGTCCTTGAAGCACTTGTGGCACTGGGCGCAGGGGAAGGGGCGCAGGTCGGTGTGGGTGCTCTGGTGCGTGACCAGGTTGGTTTTCTGGGTGAAGCGCTTGCCGCACTGGGCGCAGGCGAAGGGCCGCTCACCTGTGTGCACCCGGTAGTGCGTCACCAGGTTGGTTTTCTGGTTGAAGCTGCGGCCGCACAGGAAGCAGGAGAAGGGCCGCTCGCCCGTGTGGATGCGCCGGTGCGTGATGAGGTTGGGCTTCTGCCGGAAGCTCTTCCCGCACTCGGGGCACACGAAGGGCGCGTCCTCGGGGCAGCCCCGCGCCGGCGCCCGCGCCCGCGCCTTGCCCTCCTCGGGGTGGGCGCCGTGGATGCGCTGGTGCGCCAGCAGGTTGGCCTTCTGCGAGAAGCTCTTGCCGCACTGGGCGCAGGGGAAGGGCCGCTCGCCCGTGTGCACGCGCCGGTGCGTCAGCAGGTTGGGCCGCTGGCTGAAGCTCTTGCCGCAGTCCCCGCAGCGGAACGGCTTCTCCCCGGTGTGGATGCGCTCGTGCGTCACCAGGCTCTGCTTCTGCCGGAAGCCCTTCCCGCACTGGGCGCAGCGGAAGGGGCCGGGGACGCCCCCCTGGGCCCCCCAGCAGCCGGCGCGGGGGGCAGGGGGGTCCCGGGGGGGCTCGGGGCCGCGCTGCCCGCCGGGGAACCAGCGGCCGGAGCTGCCGCCCGCGGCCGGGAACAGCTCCAGGGAGCCGGCGCCAATCCCGGGCTTCTCCTCGGGCTCCACCTTGCTCACCCGCCCGGGCTCCACTGCACCGGAGAGATCCCGGTGTTATCCCGGATCCCGGAGGATTCCGGGCTGTCCCGAGTGGGGAGGACCCGGGCCCAGCCCCCCTTTCCTTGTGGGACCCTCACCGCTGAACCACGGGGACATGGGATACCCCAAAGGGCATCAACTCCCCAAGCCTCTCCTGGTGTGTGACACCCCAACGGGCCCCCGAACCCCAGTTTGTGACACTGAAGTCTAAAATTGCCCAAACTGGCTCAGAGTGGCAAGAACTGGTCTAAAATGGCCAAAACTGCCTCTCAAAACTGGCCCACAATGGGCACGAACTAGCTCAGAATTAGCACAAACTGGTCATGAACGGCTGTGAGCTGGCCCAGGATGGCCCAAAATGGCTGAAAACTGGCCCAAAATGGCTGAAAAAGGTCTTTAAACTGGCTCAGAACAGCCCCCAGCTGGCCCCAAACTGGCCCGGAATGGCCCCGAAGAATCGCAGCCTGCCTTTTCCCCCGAGCCCCCGCTCCCAGTGCTCCCCCAGTCCCACAGGTCCGGACTCACCGGCGCAGGGGCTGCCCAGGGCCTTGGAGTCCTCCGGGCCCGTCCGCGCGGCTCCGAAGGGCTCCTCCGGCGGCTTCATCCCGAACAGACCCCCCGGCTTGAAGAAGCGGTACCCTGGGGGAGCACGGGCACAGCTGGCACCGAGCTGCTCCCGGAGAGCCGCGCTCTGGCACCGGGAGCTCCTCGAGAGCCAGCCTCCAGGTGAGCTGGGGCCATCCCGGGCTCGGGGGTTTTCCTGCAGCCTCTCCCATCGCCGGGAATCCCCAGAACGCTTTCATCATCCCAGTTCAAAGTCCCCACAAAAATGCACCGTGCGGAAAATCCCGCGCCAGCCCCCTCCCCTCACCTGTGCAGGGGTCCGAGGGGATCTCGGCGCCGACGGCATCCAGCTGGGCTCCGGCCCGCGGCGCCGGGCTCAGCCGGGAATACGGCAGCAGATCCAGGGCGTGGGCGGGCTGGGGAGGGGGCAGCGGCTCAGCGGCATTTTGGGGTCATTTTGGGATGTTTGGGGACCTTTCCCTGGCTTTGGCCACGGGCCAAGGACAGGGATCGTGCCCCTACTCCTGCATCCCAAACGTGAGGTTCCTTGCTCCAGGACGGAGCCCCCATCCCTGCCCCCCAAACCAGACCCCCGCTCCCCAAATTACATCCCCATGGCCCCCCAAACCAGATCCCCGCTTCCCCAGCAGCTCCCTCCTCCCCAAACAAGATTCCTGCTCCCCCAAACGAGACGCCCAACCCTCTGCTCCTCCAGACCAGACCCCTGCCCCCAAACCAGGTCCCTGTCCCCCCCATCCCACTGCCCACCCCCCAGACCAGCTCCGTGTCCAGCCAGGACCCGCACCGAGGCAGGAACCTTTCCCGAGGAGCCGGTCCCGCTTTTCCGGGGACACTGAACCCCCCAGGTCCCCCGTGCCCTCCCGGACCCCCCTCGTGTCCCCAAGCCCCCCGCAGCCCGGTGGAGGCAGAGCTGGGGGGTGCGCCCCCCCCGCGCTCCGGGACTTCCCAATGCGCCGATTTCCCAAAAAAAACTCCTGGGGGGCTCATGGGGTTGAAGAAAAAAATCACCAGAAAAGCCCCCGGGGCCGGGAATCCCCCCAGGAACCCCCCAGGGCCGCGGGCGGCGGAGGAGCGGGGATCCCCCGGGAGATCCCCCGGAACCCCCGCGTACCTGGGGCGCGCCCCCCGCCGACATCGCTGTCCCGGGCCCTTCCCGGGCGCTCCCGGGCCCTTCCCGAGCCCTTCCCGGGCCCTTCCCGCGGCTCCCGGCTCTCTCCGGCCTCTGCCCGGCCCTTTCCTGGTCTCCTTCCGCCACCGAGTCCCTCAAATGGCCGCGGCGGGGTCCTGGGAGAGCGGGAGAGCCGGGATGAGAGCGGGGCGGGGAGGGGGCGGCGATGGGAATGGGGATGGAGACGGGAATGGGATGGGAGTGGCAGCTGGGAGCAGGGAATGGCTCCAGCACGGAATCGGCTTGTCCACCCGGGAATGGCCCCGGGGGCCGGGAACAGCCCCGGTACAGCAGCGCCTGGAGAACCGGGAATAGCCCCAGGAGCCGAGAATAAGGGAATAGCCCCAGGGGCCGGGAGTAGCCCCGGTATGGCCTCGTCCTGCCCGGAATAGCCCCGGGAGCCGGGAATAGCCCCAGGGGCCGGGAACAGCCCAGGCACATCCCCGCCTTGGCAGTCAGGAATAGCCCTGGGGCCCGGGAGGAGCCCCGGCGTGGAATCACCTCATCGGCCGGGAACAGCCCCGGGAGCCGGGAGCAGCCCCGGGAACAGCCCCGGGAGCCGGGAACAGCCCCGGGAGCCGGGAGCAGCCCCGGGACCGGGAGCCGGGAGTAGCCCCATAGCCCCGGGAACAGCCCCGGGACCGGGAGCAGCCCCGGGACCGGGAGCCGGGAGTAGCCCCGGGAGCAGCCCCGGGAGCCGGGAGCAGCCCCGGGACCGGGAGCAGCCCCGGAGCCACGGGACCGCGCTCCCCCGGGCCCGGCGGCTCCTGCGGCAGCTGCCGGCGATCCCGGCTGTCCCCGGAGCCGGCCGCGCTGGGGGGCTCGCAGTGACCCCCGCGCGCCCCAGCCCCGGCTCCCTCCCGCGGGAGCCCCGGACCCGCCGCAGCCACGGGCGCCCCCCCCCCCCCCCCCACCAACACCC